CCAGGCCCAGGGTGTGGGGGGCGATGACCTCACACAGCAGCACCTGGGGGCGGAACCAGAGGAAGGGGGCGGGGCGATGACGTCACAACAGCAGCGCCAAGCTCAACATGGCGGCACTAAGGGGCGTGGCCAATGCAAATAAGGGCGTGGCTACGCCATAGAGGGCGTGGTCTCAGAAGGGGGTGTGGCTACATTTAGCGGCGTGGCCAAACATTTAGGGGCGGGGCTAAACCCCTCAGGGGGGGAGCTGAACACTCGTGTGCGCGGCCTCAAAAAGGGGCGTGGCTAAACCACAGGGGGACGTGGCTTGATGCCGAGGGGGGCGTGGCTTACCTCTCCAAACTGCCCCTCCCCCAGCTTCTCCCGGAAGCGGAGGCGGTGCCGGGGGAAGGAGGGGAGGGCGGGGCCGTGGGCAGGGCTGTGGGTGGGGCCAGCCAGCGCGTAGGCGGAGCCTCCAGTGACGTCAGCCTCGGCGTAAGCCCCCGCCCCCCCCTCAGGTTCACCTGGTGGGAGGGGTGCAGGTGAGGTCGATATGGGCGTGGCCAAAGTGGGCGTGGCCATCTCCCAGCCCCGCCCTTACCGTCGGTGTTAATTGGTTTGGTGCCATCGGGCGGGGCTCGGGCGAGGCCTCCCATTGGTCGAGCGTAAGTGGCCAGGAGCAGCCGATAAGCCGGATTGGCTGGGGGAGAGGGGGGCGTGGTCAGAGAGGGGCGTGGCCAAATCAGGAGTGGGGTTTTCCCTCCCTTCCATCCCTGAATCCCCCTCCCATTCCCAAAGGATTTTTGGGGCCGTTTTGAGCCTTTTTCTCATTCCCGGACTGATTTTTGGGTGAGATTCCAGGCAAAAAAAATTGGGGGAAAAAAAATTTTCCCTTTTCCCATTTTCCCCTTTTTTCCCCTCATTTTTCCCATTTTCCCCTTTTTTCCCCCATTTTCCCATTCCCCTTCCCCAGTTTTTCCCATTTTCCCCTTTTTTCCCCTTTTCCCTCCATTTTTTCCCTTTTTCCTCCATTTTCCTTTTCCCCCTTCCCCCATTTTTCCCATTTCCCCCTTTTTTCCCCTATTTTCCACTTTTCCCCCATTTTTTCCGATTTTCCCCTTTTTTCCCCCATTTTCCACTTTTCCCCCATTTTTTCCCATTTTCCTTTCCAATTTTCCCCATTTTCCCCATTTTCCCCTTTTTTCCCCCATTTTCCTCTTTCCCCCCATTTTCCCTTTTACCCTCAATTTTTCCTTTTTTCCCTTTTTTCCCATTTTCCCCATTTTCCCCCCATTTTTCCCCTCCCCACCCCTCACCAGCCCCGGGTGGCCCCGGGGGCGGTCGAGGCCGTGCCCGGGTGGGTTCCTGGTACTCCCCACTTCCG